TGCTCATTGTTCTTTGGCTCCTGGGCGGTGAGATTTGGTCCCAGAGGGAATTGCTGTGATTTGGGGACTGTTTTTCTGAACCCGTGGGCCTGAGAGGAGGAGAACGTGCTTCTGTGTTGAATTCGATTGTTGCTGGGCGCCACATGAACAGACCGCTAACGTCACAGTCTGTCTGATATGAAGATATTAGCCGTCTGATCCCCTCCAGAACGCCCTTCCACTATTCAAACACTCACACAATTATGTAACATTTATCGGTTTCACTTTATTTTGATGGTCCCATTAAAACTACTTGTTGACTATAAGTAACATTGCACCTACATGTCTACTAACTCTCGTAAAGTACTAGTAAACTGGTAGGGTTAGGGTTATAACAAGTTGACATACTTGCAAAGTTACTTATAGTCAGTATAATGTCTGTTGAAGAGCATCACAATAAAGAGTTGGCAGATATTAAGCAGAGAGTCTACTAATACTCTAATGAGAGTTAGTTGACATGTAGTTGCAAAGTTAGAGTCAACCGAATGTTCAAAAGGGACCATAAAAATAAAGTGTTACCCATTTATCAGATTCAACACTGGAAGGGTAAAACACCATCTGTCAGAGAAAGCCCAAAAGACAGCTTTCCCCATTCACAGTAATATGCTTCACAGCAACGTTAAAAAGGGGATAGGGGAACTGACAAGTAGTGAAATTGTAACATAGCTCACGGCAAAACTGTAAGAATGCATTATAGTGTTGTTTCTGAGTGCAGTGCACTCTGGGGAATCGGGCCTGACGCCTCGACGGGACTGAATTACTGGCCGTAACACAACCATCACCATCAGATCACCTTTTCTATTTGTTCATCTGGCTGTTATAACTCATGTACAGCAGCCAAACAAAATCTAAAGTTAATGAATTAAGGGTCAAGAGCCCAACTAAAGCAAACACTGATCACCACAATGGTGACTTAAAATTCTGTTTTTCTCCTTCAGCGATTCTGCTTGCTAATGCTCAATCATCACTCAATTATTCACTTAATTATCTCATTAACTTTAACACTGTTTCAGTGTTCATTTAACACTCTGCTCAGAGTTTATATAATTCACACTTGTAGGTGTTAATTTAACTCTGGGGATTTTGCTGTGGATTATAGAAAGTTTTGAGGGGAAATGTGACCATTTTTGTAAGCCCCGGTTTCTATATTATGCCGTTGTCTGGTCTGATCTCCTTCAATGTTTGTCTGCTGCTTTTTTAGCCCATTTTTATCGTCTGTTTGGTGAAAATCGTAAGTCTGATCGCTCATAAAAGTAGCTCCTCTCCTCTACAATCCACATGACTATGATTTTTACTGTGTGTTACAAGAAGCATTATGGGTTCCTAAAAGAACCTTCCAGTGAACAGTTCTTAAAATATATCTTTTTTTCTTAGCGCGAACGACACTTTTCCACTATAAAGATCTTGGAAAGGTTCCATGTGTGTGAAAGATTCTCATGGAATACCAATAATGGAAACTTATATGAATAAATAACTGTTCAGAAGTTTCGGACAGGAAATAAATACTTTTTTTTTAGCAAGGATGCACTAAATTGATCAAAAGTGGTAGTAAATGTGTGCATAATGTACCAAAAGAGTCCTATTTCAAATAAATGCTGTATTTTCTGTTCATCAAATAATCCTGAAAATACTGATCATGGCTATACCACACACAAAACAATGCAGCAGCAAAACTGATTTCAACATTGATAATAATAATACAAGTTTTTTGAGCCGCAAATCATCATATTAAAGTGATTTCTGAAGGATCACTGAAGACTGGAGTTTTGAAAATTCAGCTTTGATCACAGGAATAAATGACTTTTTACAATATATTACAATATAAAACAGTTATTTTAAATTGACATAATATTTAACAATAACACTGTTTTTTATTTAAATAAATGTAGCCTTGGTGAACATAAGAGACTTCTTTCAAAAACTTTAAACAAGTCTTACACCGACCTCAATTTTTTGGAACAGTGTGTGTGTGATTGAATATAAGAACTGAAGATGAATAGATGTTGTCAGAAGAGCAATAAATAGAGCAGTCTGACTTTGCACACTCAATACAGTATTGATTCGAACAATGCAGTCCAGTCACCTTGCGCTCCATGTGAGTGTTACACACTGTGCATTTACTGACTGAAAACACTTCGTCAGATGTAAGAGCAGTGGAGAAATACACACACACACACTCTCTAAAAAATGCTTGGTTGTTTCAACCAAAATTTGGGTAAATAATGGACAAACCCAAATGTTGGGTTAAAAATGCAATTTAAAAAATTACAGTTGAAAGTGAAAGTTGAAGTTGGGGGAAAAAAATTAATTAAAATTTTAACCCAACATTTGGGGTTGTCCATATTTTACCCAAATTTTTTGGGTTCAAACAACCCAGCATTGTTTCGAGTGCAGTAGTGGTGTTGTGGCACCTTGATATGACGTTGTTTGGGCCAGTGATGTGCACATTAACAGGAGATTTACAAATGTAGAGCGAAACAAGCTCTGATGCTCAGGAGCGAGTGTGTGTGTGTGTGTGGGAGAGAGAGAGAGAGTGTGACTGAGCCTCACCATGGCTACCGCTGTCACACAGGTGAATCTGTCGAGCCTTGGGGAGCTCATTACAGGATTTTAAAGGAATTTATTTAATGCTGTACAAGACAGTGTTGACAAGACACACACACACACACACTGGTTGGAGAGACACAGGGTACCGGTCAATGATTTGGACACGTTTCACAGATCTTAAAAACTTTGAAATTATGTAGTATTTCTTTTTTTTCTTACAAAACTATTTTTTTAATAGTGTTTTATTAGATTAGTAGGAGCAGATATGATGAAAAACAGCCAACAAGTGTCCAGAATACATGTGAATTCTGCAATATGTTTAACAAGTATCCTAGTGTGCAGAGCTGGAACATAGACACAGAAGCTCAAACATGATTTCATTTGGTTTTATATTTTTAATGACTTATATAAAATGTGGAATATTAACTGTATGTAAGAATTTTCATGTATTAATCAGTTTTTTAATGCACCATGAACCGCTTTTTTTTTTTATGAGTAAAATAAAGTCTGTGGCAAACATAACTTGATGATGCTTTGCCGTTTAGTTCCATTGAATTTAAACTAATCTTAAATACTCTGTTTGTCCAGTTTTTGCCCAATGTATTTGAAATAAAAACAATTTTTTTTTGCATTAGAAAAAAATGTTGCCCATGCAAAATATATAAACAAATATATATTATGTGTGTGTGTGTATATATATATATATATATATATATATATACATATACAGTATATATATCAATATATGAAGAGTTCAGATGCAAAAGCCTCTAAATGCCATTTGAAATTTTCTTTAATGATGATTTTTATCAAACTTGTATATTTAAGTTCAGTAATTTCACTTAAATAACAATCAATAGGTAATTATCATTGCCATTTAAGTGAAATCACTGAACTTAAATATACAAGCTTGATAAAAATGATCATTCTAGAAGAAAATTTCAAATGGCATTTAGAGGCTTTTGCATCTGAACTCTTCATATATCAATCTAACCCTAAGCCTATTTAGTATGCATGTTGTTAATTTAAATTCCTCATTACTTATTTGTGCGATTTTGCTTTAATATTTAACTCAAAATGAACGTGTTCACGTAGCTACATTCGGCCATGATGATATTCATACCAGGACTTTCATCCAGCATAATCTATTTAGTCAAGTATGCGTGCCTCTGCATGGACCATATTGAGGCTCAACATAAGCTGCCTATATGCATGTTGATAATGCACACACACAAACACACACAAACAGAGGCATGCAGGCTTTCCTCGTGCAGGACATAATTAAATGTTCTCAGATAAAGCAATCTCCTTCATACCCAGCACAAAGAAACAATAACTCGCATTCAATCTCTGATGTTGAAGCCTTTTCTATGCCCGGCGTCCTTCTTGCTAGCGCTAGATAGGGTAATATCAGCCCATAGCAGAGTATGAAGGAGTTGAGATGGTGGACGGCGCATTAGCGATTAATCAGAGTAATTTGGCATGAGTTAAGCTGCTTTACATCCATCACATAAACAGAACAGCAGAGACATGCAGATATACAGGTGTATAGTGCTCATGTGGGCCTACAGATATCTTCATTCATCATGTGTCTATTTAACTGGTTTTAATATTAACTAACATTGATTCAAAACATTTCGAAATAATTGTTAGATTTTTACCTGTCTTGGGGAGACACAAAGATTGAAAAGTCAATGAAGGACGAAGGTAGGCTAACCATCCTCCGCCTTTCATTCATCAACATTTGATATAGCTAGTTTTAATGATCCTCTTGAGTCTTGACCAATGAATGACCACTTACAATTTACTTAAAGGATGAAATTAATCATTTTATGTGCATTGCAATCTCAAAGTTTCCAGCACAATAAGTAGACATAGCTAAATAAATAGCCTATTTCATTGCTGGTAGGCTATGTAGGCTATTCCCCTGACGTTTCCAATAGCCTATGTCTATCTATGTTCAATTCAATTCACATTTAGTACACTATTTATATAGCGTTTTTCACACTTCACTTAATTTCAAAGCAGCTTTACAGAAAGTCTACATTACAATTTGAGTGATTTGTTATCAGAGGTAGGCCTAACTTACTAAGTTATGTATTTTTAATGTATATATGTTTGTATGTTTTTCATGACTGCGGGACCTGATGTTATTATCGGAAAGATTTTATCTGTGCGACTGCATCTCCAAGCGCCTCACGACAAAAGAAATCTGTACGGAGACAGAATGCACCGACTCCGGTGATCCACCGCTCTCTTCTCTGATTGGTCGGGCTTGATCAGCGCGGCCTCGGTTTGCTCTCTGATTGGTTGTATTCGCAATGGGCTTTTGCAGCGCTCGCTCACTCTGTTCTCTGATTGGTCGATTGCGTGGTGGGCTGGAACAGAGCTGTCATTACTGACATCCACCACCAACAGAGAGACAATAGGGCAACAGCAGTCGCTCTGTCGGAGGTGTCCAAGAACCAACACTATCAAGGCTTTAAATATATATATAACAGAGAGGAGAGCTGATATGCATTGCTGATGGTCTTGTTTTAAACATTGACCACGACGGAATGACAGCGGGGTGTTTCGCGTCATTTTCCCCCTAAAAGGTAGGAAACATTGAATTAACATTAATATAATTGATGAAATATGCATATTGATGCTCATTTGCCACTGTTATTTGCCAGAACTGCTAGATAACACAGATGCCTTACTTCCTAATACCTTACTTTATTTCCAAGGTCTATTATAATACTTGTATGTGTTATAAATTACGTATTATTAGTGCAAGGAAACAACCATTATTTTCTTATTATTGGCATAAAGGTCTCAATGCAGCTGAGCCCTTCACTATGTAATCTGCATAGGAAGCAATCCACTGAAGAACAATAGGCTGAAAGCTGCTCGTGTAAGTGAAGTGAAGGCATGCCATTCGCCAGTTACATGGTTATTCATTTACTACTTGTTTTTATATCGCATGCATGGATAGCCATGCACACGCACACTCACACTCCCACACAAACAAACCCAAAGGCATGAACTGTACATTTAGTGCATGAAACTGAATGTCCTGTTTATAATAACCGGTATTGTTCAGACAGGATTTTGCTGGCTAGATGACAACAAATGTAAATGCTATCTTCATGAGTAATTTAGGGTTATTACAGGGCAGATATAATGTGGGATAGATGCATACAATTTTAGATTTGGCAGTTGAGATTTGACCTTACAGTACATTTACTCAGTATTTACATATTTGTTTAGCCTACTGTGTGTGTGTAAAAGAGGTTTTCTGAAGATGATAAGCTGAAACTGCCCAAAATAGTGGCCAATGCATGCGACTGTCACTATGTGAGTATTCAGACACACACAGCTGTGTCCTTTGTCTAGATGAGCTCCATTATTTGAATATCCAGAATTTCATCAGTCAGTCAAGAGTCTAGTCTTATAATGTTTAAACTGTGGTGACATTATTTCATTAAACGATGTTTGCGAAGAAACAATCCTGCTTGAATTTCATGAAACCTGAAATTGACCTTAAAATGTAATTACAAAATTGTGGTCAAGCAACCTTGGTCAGGCATCCTGCAATGTTGGAAATAAGTATATTTACCAGACCTAAACTGAATCTAGGATTATATGACCAGCTAGAAAAGACCTTTCATGCACAGAGACACCCAGACAATACCATTTGCAAATCGTGTTCACTTCCATAATCTGCCATATGTCTGAATGAAACAGTATATTAAAATAACAAATAATGATATCGATTTAATGATAAAAAGTCTCAACTTAGATTAAAGTGGCGTTACATCAAGCGGTTGGCTGGAAGAAGGGTGGGGGATGAAAAAGTGAGAGGACATTAAAAGGAACGAGGCGGAGCAAGTTATTCTTTTGATAAAAGATTATCAAGACAAACGTTTTTATGCACCAGCGCAAAAAGACATGCATGCATATATACACTCACCGGCCACTTTATTAGGTACCCCATGTTAGTAACGGGTTGGACCCCCTTTTGCCTTCAGAACTGCCTCAATTCTTCGTGGCATAGATTCAACAAGGTGCTGGAAGCATTCCTCAGGGAGTTTGGTCCATATTGACATGATGGCATCACACAGTTGCCGCAGATTTGTCGGCTGCACATCCATGATGCGAATCTCCCGTTCCACCACATCCCAAAGATGCTCTATTGGATTGAGATCTGGTGACTGTGGAGGCCATTTGAGTACAGCGAACTCATTGTCATGTTCAAGAAACCAGTCTGAGATGATTCCAGCTTTATGACATGGCGCATTATCCTGCTGAAAGTAGCCATCAGAAGTTGGGTACATTGTGGTCATAAAGGGATGGACATGGTCAGCAACAATACTCAGGTAGGCTGTGGCGTTGTAACGATGCTCAATTGGTACCAAGGGGCCCAAAGAGTGCCAAGAAAATATTCCCCACACCATGACACCACCACCACCAGCCTGAACCGTTGATACAAGGCAGGATGGATCCATGCTTTCATGTTGTAGACGCCAAATTCTGACCCTACCATCCGAATGTCGCAGCAGAAATCGAGACTCATCAGACCAAGCAACGTTTTTCCAATCTTCTATTGTCCAATTTCGATGAGCTTGTGCAAATTGTAGCCTCAGTTTCCTGTTCTTAGCTGAAAGGAGTGGCACCCGGTGTGGTCTTCTGCTGCTGTAGCCCATCTGCCTCAAAGTTCGACGTACTGTGCGTTCAGAGATGCTCTTCTGCCCACCTTGGTTGTAACGGGTGGTTATTTGAGTCACTGTTGCCCTTCTATCAGCTCGAACCAGTCTGGCCATTCTCCTCTGACCTCTGGCATCAACAAGGCATTTCCACCCACAGAACTGCCGCTCACTGGATGTTTTTTCTTTTTCGGACCATTCTCTGTAAACCCTAGAGATGGTTGTGTGTGAAAATCCCAGTAGATTAGCAGTTTCTGAAATACTCAGACCAGCCCTTCTGGCATCAACAATCATGCCACGTTCAAAGTCACTCAAATCACCTTTCTTCCCCATACTGATGCTCGGATTGAACTGCAGGAGATTGTCTTGACCATGTCTACATGCCTAAATGCACTGAGTTGCCGCCATGTGATTGGCTGCTTAGAAATTAAGTGTTAACGAGCAGTTGGACAGGTGTACCTAATAAAGTGGCCGGTGAGTGTATATGAAGAGTTCAGATGCAAAAGCCTCTAAATGCCATTTGAAATTTTCTTCTTTAATGATCCTTTTTATCAAGCTTGTATATTTAAGTTCAGTAATTTCACTTAATTGGCAATGATAATTACCTATTAATTGTTATTTAAGTGAAATTACTGAACTTAAATATACAAGTTTGATAAAAATCATCATTAAAGAAGAAAATTTCAAATGGCATTTAGAGGCTTTTGCATCTGAACTCTTCATATATACTCATGCTAACTGTGAGAGCAGCACCAAGCCTCGAGCCCTTAGTGTCTCCACTGATCTGACTCCAAGCGTGTACATGTAATGCTTCATAGCACTGTGAGCATCGTGTGTGTGTGTGTGTGTGTCAGTCAACAAAACCAGCAAACAGACCAGCACTAACAGGGATTATAGGGTTTTCTCTAAAACAGTGGTCTCAAACAGTCGAGAGTTTAGCTCCTAATCAACGTAACTTTTTCAGTTATCTTTTTGCACCATCTCAGGTTACGTTTAAAACAACAACGATTTACTAAAAGTGGAAAAAAAAATTCCTTTGAGTTTTTTCTTTCTACAAACGACAGCATCGTCAAAAAGATCCCTGTTCACACAGATCCGCGAAAATGACTAAGTCGCTGTATTATTCATGCCAGGCCAGTAGATGGCAATGTCACTTTGTAAAGAAACCCTATAAACTGAACACGTAATACGCATGTGCGTGACATCACCATTTTCACAAATTTACGTTTTTGTAACTTAAACAGACGGTATCGTTTTCAGAAACATGCGCTTTGAATCCCGTTTTCAAAAGTTTTCGTTTTCAGGACCCAAAAACGCTGTTGACGTGTAAATGAACGGCTAAAAACGCAGCCTGGGTTGCAAAGTGTTGGACTATAGGCCTATGACACACTTCCTGCTTCCGGAACGCGGAGTAGGGATACAGAACGTCCGGTCAACAGTATTTCTCGATAAGGATTTAGATTATAAGCCCTAATGTCTAAACCATCCGAGGTGGACTGACCACGAGCTATGAGGTTCTCTTTAAGCTCCCGTTGAAGCTATACGTTTGTATGAAATCAACCTTATTTAAAGAAAAACATGTTTTATCAGTGATCTTATGAAAAAAAACTACACTACCCACAATCCTAAGCGTAGCAGCAACGTCTGCTGATTGTTCCAACTCGCTGTTAGAAACGTTTACCTTACTGGCGAACGGCTACAGCTACCTGCGGCTTTTGTTGTAGTGTACCGGTGTGGTGAAGAGATGAGTCCCCCTGAAGAGATGAGTCCCACCTTAGGACCCAAGCGATCCGATTGGTTCAAAGCTAGTTTTATGGGTAAACGTTTTAGTGCCTGGTTACAAATTAGAGAAAATCAGTTTATTATAAGAGACGTTTGAAGTACGTTATAAGGAGTCATTAATGTCTTTTAACTTATATGATTCATATACTAGTATATAACCGAAGCTGTAGATTGTAAATTTAAAACATTTCTCGTTCTTATTGTTTTTTAGTTAGCTTACAACGTCAGAATGACTAGCCGAGTTAAGGCTGTTCCAGGCGGGCTAGTTAGATGTGCTGCTGATCCCTGGTTCTGACAACTCCGAAAAGTTTTCGAACATTGTTCAACTAAACATTGTTCTGACGTTTTCGGCGAAAACGTCAGAACAATTTTTTAAAAAGGCGCAATCTTTATAAATAAACCACAGATTTGAGCTTTAAACAACTATATTCTCGACTTAAAAACTCTTAAAATTACATTTCATGACACAATAACAGTCATATTTTTAAATTTCGCGGACTTTCTCCTCTGCTGTTGACGCAACCTACTATGAAAAGCGCTTAACAAATAAACGTATTACTTGAAAAGCGCTAAACAAATAAACATATTACTTGATTGCAACAAACTGCTTTTATCAAGTTATTGTGAGAACATATTTAGATCAGGCATACTACTGGCATACTATGGGGTCCTAAGGTGGGACCCATCTCTTCAGGGGGACTCATCTCTTCACCACACCGGGTTGCTCTACATCAGGACGTAGACAGCCATACCTCAGCGTTCACGCTTTCCCACTTGAGAGTTTTCATTTATTATTCGAACCACATCGTCATATGTGACTTCAGGCAGGTTGCGGAGAGATTTGGTCCGGCGATTTGGTCCGGCTACTGGAGTCCACCATTGTAAAAGGCTAACTGAAAGAGCCGTATCCCAACTAAAAGACGTACTTCCGGACCGGTCTTCAATTTTTTTTCGTTACATAGGCCTATAAGCCAAACAAAAAATGACTGATAAGAAATCGGAGGTGCTCAATACAACGTGGAAGAGACAGTAGGAAGTAACTTAGAAGCAATTAAATTAAAGGGTAGTTCATTCAAAAAAATTGAACTCTGTCATATTACTCACCCTCATGCTGATCCGTTTTTTTC